CGACTCATCGACCACGTCCAAATGGCTACAGATTCCTTGCTACAACAGGTCCCATCCGCAGAGATCGTGATCCTTGGCGATTTTAACGCCCACCATGCCGAATGGCTCGGTTCACGTTTAACCGATCATGCGGGGAGATCTGTTTATGACTTTGCCTTGGCATATGGTCTGACACAACTGGTTACTTCGCCTACGCGGATTCCAGATGTGGAGGATCATACACCTTCCCTGTTGGACCTTCTGCTGACCTCTCATCCGGACGGATATCAGGTTTCCGTCGATGCCCCTCTCGGCTCTTCGGACCATTGTCTGATCCGGAGTATGGTGCCACTCACGCTCCCTTCGCGGTTGCGTTCTGCAGGTTGCCGCCGTGTTTGGCATTACAGGTCGGCGGATTGGGACGGAATGCGGTCTTTCTTTGCATCCTACCCATGGGGGCGGGTTTGCTTCTCGCCGGATGATCCCAGTGCTGTTGCTGACTCTGTCACTGATGTGGTGCTACAGGGAATGGAACTATTTATTCCATCATCTGTGGTACCCATCGGAGGCAGATCTCAGCCTTGGTTTGGTCGCTCCTGTAAGACTGCATTGCGCAGTAAGCAGGAGTGTTATCAAGCCTGGGCTGCGGCTTCGGTGACTCGGGATGTAAACACCAGCACACTTAAAAAGAAGTATAACTTCGCCTCCAGGTCCTTCAAAAGAGTTATTGCCAAGGCAAAGTCAGAGCACATAGGCAGAATTGGCGAGAAACTAGTTCGCCTTCCTTCGGGAACCCGTGCATTCTGGTCTCTCGCCAAGGCTGTCCAAGGGAATTTCTGTAAGCCATCACTACCATCTCTGCACAGGGAGGACGACTCACTGGCCCAAGACGCAAAAGACAAAGCCGACCTTTTAGGCTCCCTTTTTGCGTCCAACTCGACTCTTGATGACGGGGGGAAAATACCGCCGACCATCCCGCGGTGTGAGTGCTCCATGCCGGATGTGCTATTCTCACAGCGCTCAGTTCGCAAAGCACTTCTCTCCCTGGACATCCAGAAGTCGAGTGGGCCTGACGGAATCCCCCCAATTGTGCTGAGGACGTGTGCTCCGGAGTTGGCACCGGTCCTAACGCGTCTTTTCCGGTACTCCCACTCCCAAGGCGTAGTCCCGAATTCATGGAAGACAGCTTTTGTCCACCCGATCCCTAAAAAAGGCGACCGCTCAGACCCGTCCAACTATAGGCCTATCGCGATCACCTCCTTGTTCTCCAAAATAATGGAATCCATTATTAACTGCCAGCTCATCCGGTACCTTGAGGATCACCAGCTGATTAGTGACCGCCAATACGGTTTTCGTCGGGGTCGATCAGCTGGTGATCTTCTGGTCTACCTGACCCATAGATGGACGAAGGCAGTAGAGTCCAAGGGGGAGGCGTTGGCCGTTAGTCTGGACATTGCGAAGGCCTTTGATCGGGTTTGGCACAAAGCGCTTCTTTCGAAGCTGCCTTCCTATGGGCTTCCCGAGAAATTGTGCAATTGGATCACCAGCTTTCTTGCAGATCGGAGCATCAAGGTCGTTGTAGACGGTGCATGTTCTGACTACAAGCCTATTAACGCTGGTGTTCCACAAGGCTGTGTGCTATCACCAACGCTGTTTCTTCTGCATATCAATGATATGTTGCTAACTGGTAACATTCATTGCTATGCGGATGACAGCACTGGTGATGCTCTATACACCGGCCGGGCCAATATTTCTCGGGAAAACGTCGCCGAGTACCGGAACAAACTTGTGTCTGAAGTCGAGTCTTTGCTGAGCAAAGTCTCGGATTGGGGGCGACTAAATCTAGTCCAGTTTAATCCTCAGAAGACACAAGTTTGCGCGTTTACCGCTAAAAAGAACCCCTTTGTCGTATCTCCTCAGTTTCAAGGCACTCCCCTTCTTGCCTCAGCCAGTATCGGTATCCTCGGAGTCGACATATCGAGTGACGTGCAGTTTCGTAGTCACTTGGAAGAGAAGGCCAAATTGGCCTCTAAAAAGCTTGGCGTGCTCAGCAGAGCGGGACAGTATTTCATGCCGGCACACCGCCTGCAACTTTACAAGGCGCAGGTTCGGCCTCACATGGAATACTGTTCCCATCTCTGGGCAGGGGCTCCCCAGTGCCAGCTCCTTCCACTTGACCGCATCCAGCGCAGAGCGGCTCGAATCGTCGACGACCGAGCCCTTTCCGATCGGCTCGATTCATTGGCACTGCGAAGAGATGTTGCATCTCTTTGCATTTTCTTTCGCATCTACCATGGGGAGTGCTCTGAGGAATTGTTCGGATTAATCCCAGCCGCCAAATTTCACGAACGCACATCGCGGCAGAACTCCCGATACCATCCACACCATCTGGATGATTGGCGGTCCACCACTGTGCGATTTAGAAGATGTTTTCTTCCTCGCACAACTTCCTTGTGGAATAGTTTACCACCAGGGATTTTTCCGGACCGATACGACTTAGGGACCTTCAAGAAAAGAGCCTACTCCTTTTTAAAAGGCCGGCAACGCATCTGCAATTCCCCTGGTGTTGCGGTTGTTCATGGGCGGCGGTAGTCACTTACCATCAGGTGAGCCGCATGATCGTTTGCCCCCTCTCCTATAAAAAAAAAAAAAAAAAAAAAAAAAACTTCTGCTGACTATCGAACCAGATAGGTATGAAGCTATACTTCATACCTATCTTATTTGGTACCTCCCCTTTAGGTACATCTGACCACTGTCTGATGAAATCTGTATCGTCATATTCCCCACCTGATTACAAGTCCCAAGTTGTTCGACGAATATGATAGTAAAGTCAGCTGATTGGAATGAGATGCGTCACTTTTTTGCATCCTATCCTTGGCGGGAGGTCTGTTTCTCTTCTGTGGATCTGTCGAGTTGCGCGGATGCGATAACCGATGTGTTGCGTCAAGCTATGGAGTATTATATCCCTTTTTCTGATGCTCCTGCCGGTAGCAAAGCTCGCCCATGGTTTGGTTTAACGCTCAATGCGCTCAAGCTGAAAAGTGCAAGCATTTAGCGTACCTATCCCGCGTTGACGCCCAAAACCGCAAAGCTCTGGATATCAGCTCCACGAAGAGAACTTTCAACCTGTCCGCCAAGTCCTATACAAAGCTTATCTCGATCGCATTAAACATATTGGCGCAAAACTCTTTGCCAGACCATCCGGCACTAGAGCTTTTTGGTCTCTCGCAAAAGCGGTCAAGACAAACTTCTGTCACCCACACTGCCTCCACTCGTAAAACCGGATGGCACACTGGCGCATGATCTGTAGTTCTTCAAGAGAGCGTTATCGCCTTTCTTGAAGAACAAGACCACCACACTTCTGCTCCACGCCTCCGGTCTAGTGCCACAATGAAGGACGGAATTAAAGAGCTTCTGAAGGACTTCAAGTACCGGTTTTCTACCCGCTTTCAGAAGCTGTATAGGATTCGTACTCTGCCTATGTACTCGGATAGTCATCGTAGCCCTACTGTACAAACACTTCAGCACTTCAATATACCGACATTCAACTTGGCACCGCTGAAGGGTACTGCAGCTCCGCCCAAATTTCGACGGAATCAAAAGTTTTCTCATAGTCAACATACGCCAGACATAGTGGCAAATTGTACTCCTCGGACTTCTGTATAATTTGCGGAAGGGTATGTATGTGGTCTATGGTGCTAAAGCCTTTTCGGAAACCAGCTTGTTCGGGAGGCTGGAAGTTGTCAAGTCTGCGTGCGAGACGATTCGTAATGACTCTCGAAAACAGCACGTAGACGCGGCTCAGAAGGGAAATCGGTCTGTAGTTCTTCAAGAGAGCGTTGTCACCTTTCTTGAAGAACAAGACCACCGCACTTCTGCTCCACGCCTCCGGTGTAGTACCACAATAGAGGACGTAATTAAAGAGCTTCTGAAGGATATCAATTACAGGTTTTCTACCCGCTTTCAGAAGCTCCGCTGTTAGTCCATCCTCGCCTGGGGCCTTGTCATTTTTAAGGTGCTGGAGAGCCATTCAGAGGAATCTCATCGGAATAGTGTCGGATAAGACTTGCTTTAGGATCGTTAGCACACTTGCGTGTGGCTCCAACGATGATGCGTACATCTGCCGATAGAACCTCTCAATCTCACTCAAAATCTCAGGTGTCCCGGAAACGACGCTGCCACACTCGATCTTCAACTTCAACAGTTGGCTCTTTCTGGCAGACAGATCTCTGGCAAAGACTTTGGGGCCCTGGTTCCGCTCGACCACTTCTTCAATACGAGTAGTTATAAAGTTGCTTAAGTCCCTCCACATACATTTGGAGATCTGTCTGCTCAGTTGCCTGGATTCTGTCAAATCTCCTGAAGACTGCAGCTTCATTTCCCGTCTAACAACCATGATATTAAGAGATAGAAAGAAATAATGATAATAATAAAAGATCACAATTGGAAAGTTTTTGTGTTCTTCTGTGACGGGTTTGCAGAACTTAGCTCCGACTGCATGGACAGTTTCCACGAGCTTGTCATTCATATCGTCCACTGCATTGCAATCTTCTAGGCATTGAAAACGGTTTTGTAGTTCCATACACATAGCATCACCTTATTGCGTGTTAATCCGGGTGTCCCTACAGTTTGAAACTTGACTACCAGACTGTCAAACCATGATATTTTTCGCACGTTCATGTCGTAGGTGATCCACTTTTCACCACCAGTAATCAATATTTTCAAAAATGGTACGGTTTCATTACGTTTCAATAGAGAATCGCAAATGAGTACACATTTCATTTAGTTTCTTTCAGTGAGCTCGTGTGGTACCCAAGTATTGAGCCTTTTTGTATAGCTAGACTTTTTCAAATGGGTCAAAACTGTTTAGTGGCCATTCTTGAATTCCTCTGCTATGTCCTGAAATCTAAAATGAACTAAGTATGCGTAACCAGACGGATGCTATTCGACCGATTTGGCAAGGAAACACTAAAACACCAAATTTATTGAAGAATTTTATTTTAACCGCAGGGTACAACATATCAAAGATCATTATCAAAAAAATCACATTTTAATTTGTCCCAAAACCGCATTCTTTTTTCTTCGGGCAATGTAATCATTTTTATAGTCCTACCGAAATTCAATACTTTTAAGGTTTCATTGAAAAGCTCCCACTTCAAACTTCCCAAAACGTTATCCGTATTTTTTGGAGTCGGATTTCTATAAATATAAAAACACTTAACTAAATTTTTGTAATAAAATGGACGTTTGCAATGAACAATAAATAATATGGACAACATAGATACACTTCTTATACTAGTTTTAGTCTAACTCGTTGGTCTAGTAGTCGCAAACGCAGTTGCTGATTATGAGGTCTTGGTTTCGAATTCCGGGTCGGGCCATATTCACAAAGCACGTAAAGATGTTGCTCAGGTCTCTTCTCTCTCCGGTCGTGTAGGATAACCGTCCCTTTTGACTGTGAGAGTGAAAGAATAGAGAGTACACTTGTACTTGCGCGTACTATCCCGCAGGATAATCTTGTTCCGCGCAGATAGCTAGTCTCGATTGAACTGTAAGGGGAACAGAGTGTTGATATTACGATGCGCAACTCTCCCTACCCTCTGCGACAGAAATGTGATTGGCTTTGAAGCTATAAAGATGCTGATGCTGTCGAATACTCCTTTTTAAACCCACAAGATCTCTGCGTGGCAGACTTTGTCGTTTGTTTGTGCACATGGAGATGGAATCAATGTAGAAAGACACAACTTGTGTTTCGGGACGCCTTATTATAAGATAGATGGGGGGATTATGCCTGTACCAAGTAAAATCTGCTAATGTACACGTAGTCTGTAAGAAACGCAAACATGGTAACAGTTTGATCTTAGGCGGTGGCAGTCCGACATATCCCGCTAAGCACTCCCGAAACGTGTATGTAGTAGGTTTTTCTCCAATCACTTAAGAATTACCAACGTCATGATTTCTATACTTTAATAGAGGTTAAAACTAGTGAGCGCCCTTGTGTTCGCGTTACACGTGATAATTTCAAATATTATAAATTTCATTAATGGGTCGTAAGACTTGAAAACCCTGTCACATGCCAAGCATCATAAGACATTTTACTTAAAACAATACAAGGAATATAAAATACAATACATATTATGTAATTTGTAAAAAAAAATGTTTTTGTGTGAACTCACCCGTATTTGACAAAATTAACCAATAACTTCATCAGTTTTTTAATAAAAAGTTTTTCTTTTAAAGTGTGTTTACTGTTATACATATCTTTAAAAGATTTACATTTGAATTGATAACAAATTTCATCGCCAGATGTTGCCCCTGACCAACTTAATTTTGTAATAAGATATTTCCATTTAACATTAAAACTTCCATTATATGAAAATCTATATAAATAGACATTTCCAGAGGATCCTTCACTATGTAATCTTGCTTGTTGGAGTAATGGATAAATAACTTGGTCCGAATGATACTTGACATAGCGTTTTAAGCTGCGTTCTGATATTGTGCCATTTATAAAATAAAAATTCATTATGTTTCTTTGAATCCTTTTATAACGCTTTGAGTTAAACTCGTCAGATCTTCCATGAAAAGGCAAAAGATATTGAAAATTATGATTTAAATATCTTAGAAGATTTCTGTTGTTTATAAAATCTTTTAATTTAAATAAAGATTCGAAATTTGAAAATCCAAACATAACATCGACATTATAGTTTGCTAACTTTCTTTTATATATTTCAATAGGATGCTTAAACATGAAACTGTCTCTTTTAGTAGTTTCAATAGTACAACCGAATGCATTTATTGGTCTTTGATTATCTCGGATTTCAGTACTATCGACAAGATTGCGAGATAATAACACTAAATTATTAACAGATGCAGTACTTAAAAATTCGTAAAGCATTTCTCGATTAAGTTTCTCAAAGTGCCCATTAAGTTTCCAGTATAATTTATTAATAATTTTAAAATTATACTTTCTATAAACTTTCGGTGAGATAGCACTTCCACTCTGAATAACCACTCGATTAAATAAATCTTCAGCGGCATTAGATACTAAAAATGAAGCCACAATATCAGCGCCTACTCCCGATCCAATCACTGTAACCTTGTTGAAGTTCCCTTTAAATAAATCTATATTATTTCTTATCCATCTAAGTGCCATGACGACATCTTTAGCCCCCATATTTCCTTTTGAAAATTCGTCTTCGGTATTTAAAAATCCTAATATAGACATTCTAAAAGAAACAGCGACAACCAAAATATCCTCTTCAATTAAGAAATCCGGTTCATGGTCTTTGAAATTTTCGTAAATCCATACCACAACTGGAAAGCTAGTTCGTTCATTAATTGAAAGTGGCATGTAAACAACTAGATTTAAGCAATTTTCTGAAGACCCATAGTCACATGTGTGCAACAATTCATTACTAAAATCATAAGTAACCAACGGCATCAATTTTTTTGGTCCTTCTGGCGGCTATTGGAAAAATAAAAAGAATTTTAGATACTACGACATTTAAAAGATATAATTTTAAAAGTAACTCGAATTTTATATTTATAACACATTCATTATCATCAAGAACAACAATAACTTCCTTACCGTCTATCAAAGTACACTGATGATCTTAGGGCTCATTGTAGATTGTCTAATAAGGGATTTCTTGATGGAAGATTTTTCATAGTCGCCACGCTTAACAGGTACGTTGCAGTTTATATTTTTTAGTTGTTATTGGGTATAAAACACGCTGTTGTCCATCTTTTGGTTGTTTTCTTTTGTCGCCTCTTACAACTCGGGACGATATGGGGTAGTGTATATTCTTACGTCGCCAATATACGGTAGTGATTGGTAGAATAAGTAATACTTATAAAACTAGTACCTAATAAAACAAGAATAACCTTAAATCTTCGTTCTTGTACAGGAACTTTTGCATAAGGAATATCACTGAATGTTGCATATGGTTTATTTTCGTAAATTGTAAATAACTTTCTACCGATTATTGTAATACTTTTATTTGTTTCTAACTTCACTTGTTCAATATACACGCCTCTAACATTATATAAACTTAGGAAAGCAAAATATATCTGCGCCAAAGTTTCTACAAAAAACTTATCAAGTCTCATTTTTTCTTCAAGTACAATATCATATAATCGATTTTATATTTTAATACGCGTAAACTTTTTCAGGCACGTCGTCATAAACTTTACTAATAACCATGCCATGTTTTCAAAACATTTCATTGTTTTCTTAATACAATTTTATACGTTTAGATAAGGTCATGGTTATCTTCCGGTTGTCAACACGACACGACTTTGAGCACTAACGGGTCGAGTATTGAACTAAGCCATACTGGCTTAATTTGAGTTGCCTCACATTACAGACGCGGACTCGGCTTCTAGGTGTTATTATTCTAAGCTGAAAGCTTAATAGACCAGTTGAGGATCATAGTTATTTACATGCAATTCAAAATATTAATTAAAAAAGTTAAGTACCAGACAGTAATAACATACATATGTCCCAATCCTCGGCCAGACTTCGCTTAATTTTTAAGAGGGCTTTTATGTTGTTTTGTGCTGCTCTTTTTTATGCTGGCAGATCCAATTTTCGTCGAAAACATTATACCTTCACAGAGAAATTTATCGTAAAGAGTCTGATTTTCCTACTCCAAAATATAAAAATTTTGTGGTATTTCTGTTTTCTTACAATTTTTTAATTTACTGACAAATATTTTGAAAAAACCTACGAATATCAATCAAAAATATAACTAAAAACAGAATCTTAGTAAATAATCTTGAAAGCCTGAAGGCTTGTATCAAAAATTTATCAATAGTGTCAACTTTAACGAGTATCATTTATTTTAAATTTCACCATTAAAAGAAAGTTTGTTTAATTACTTAATTTTATTTTTTACTTTTATTCTTTAAAAATGGGATGACTGTCCCTCACTTATCATCATCATCAACATAACATTACAGAACTTCACATGTCCACTACTGAATATAGGCCTCCCCCAAGGTTTGCTACGAAGCACGGTCCTGAGTCGACTTCCTGCATGTCTTACCAGGTGGTCACTCTATCTAGTAGATACTTCTCCTACGGGTACGAGGTTGTCACTAAAGAATCATTCTTCCCATCGGTGGTCGGTTCTTTGAGCTAAATGACCGGCCCATTGTCTCTTCAGCTTACTAATCCATTAGGCTATGTCGGTTACTGTACTTACTGTTACTCTACTTACTTACTTACTTGTTACTTACTGCGGATATTCTTATTTTTAAGTCTATCACGTAGAAAAACCCTTAGCATAGCCACCTTCATAGTTAGCCCTCTCCCATAGTCATAAGTCATTAGTCTTTATATCAATATTTGTCAGGAATGTACCTAAATATACAGATTCCTTCGCCAAAAGTAAACCGATTTAGAGTTACCGCTGGCTATATAAATATTTACAAGCTTCAAAACCACTCCATAAAAAGTATAAAAAATCTATCATTTTCCCAGCTTCCACTAGTACAAATGTATGTTATAGGGATATAGATTGACAAATCTTTTAAATTAGAAGATCGAGTAATGTAAAATGTTCTTTCTTATAATTAGGTTTTTTTACCATTTGATGCGTTAATGCCATTATTTTATGTCAGATTCGTAATCTATAAATTTGAATACACATTAGTATTTTTGTGAGTTTTTTCTAGCTTTACTTAATAATAACTAACAGTTGTATTGTATGGAAATTCACAAGCTTGTTAATGACCAGAAAAGTATCGTTACACTTCAAAACAAAAACATTTTTTTTTGTGTGTTTGATTTGAAAAATTACTATCACCGCAGTATTGGCGTAAACAACTGAAATAAAGTACTTATAAAAGGCAATTTATTGTAAGTAAACTCAATCAATAATGGAATCTAACTGAATTTTATTACAATAATAATTTATTTTTAATTATATGTTTATTACATATAACATATAATTTACACGTAATTACATATAATTTTTATAATATTCGTACAAGTTACTACTATGAATTTAACATATATATATATATATATATATATATATATATATATATATATATATATATATATATATATATATATATATCTTGCTGTACGACAGTTCGTAAGGATATTAAAGAAAGACTTCCAACCAAAAATACTTTTCAGAAGGTCTTAATATCTCAAAAATTTTGGGTTTATTAATTTATTGTGTATTTGATACAAGATTACGATGATTTTCTCATGACCAGAAAATGTCACTAGAAAAACATTTTTTTATACAAGGAAATTATTCTATTTTTAATTCAAAAAAGATCAATGTTCTCGTGCATAGAGCATGAATAATATTGATCATTATTGGTTCGAATAGGCTGACCACACAATAAAATCATCTATAGAAAAAAATCATCGGTTCCATTATTATAGCAACAGTCTATTTTGCGTATTGCGTCAAAAATAGTATATAACTATACTATTTTTGAGTACGCAAAATAGGCTGTTGCTATATATGACACTAAAAATAGCAAAAAGAGACAGCAGTGAAAATAGTCTGAACTTTTTTGAAACTGAAAAAGAAACAGGTATTAACAAATTTTCATATATATATACATATATAAATATTAAAGTTCATATATAAATTATGCATAAACATAAACGAAACGTTAATATTAATTGTCCACACATTAATCACTTCCCTGTTTTTGTTTATTTATTTATTTTGAAACTATAAATTAAATTATTAAATTAAATTAAATCAAACTAAATTAATAAATTTTCTGTTTTATTGTAATCTAATGACAACAACCAATCACGAACTCTAATTTTACACTCGTCTTTTGAAAGAGGATAGGATAGGATCTGGAAACATCAAGGACTGTCACCGTTATTCTTTTTTTTTTTTGAGGCCACACAATTTTCCTTATATAATATGTGGGGCATTAAATTGGGATTAACGTTACCGGAAAGCATAAAATTACATAATTTTGTAATGTCATTAAGAAGTACATTACTGGCGTCATCGGCAGACGCACATACGTCAAGGCTGGCAACAGAACCATTAGAAAATGACAAAATTGCTTCTAAAGTGTCTTTTTCATAAAGTTGTAAAAGTTGCATAGAAGTATTAGGAGGCAGCGGTGAATGCTGAGAAGGATTGACTGAAGGATGTTTCTGACGATGGCCTTCAAGAGTTTCGACATTACGAGAAGCCAGGATGTCGTCTTAGAATAGAATACGGGATGCATTTTTTTTAATCAAATTTAGGAATAGGTCGTGATAAATGACTATTATTTGGATTGTTGAAAGTTTGAAAAGATGACGACGTAATTGATTTATTTATTGTTTAAAATGAAAATGAGAGTACGCAAAGGTACATTATTTTTGCCAACTCTTTCACAATCAATGAAATTTTGAATAGTGTATAACAATGTTTTAGCAAGTTGTATCCTCACAATTTTTTTTAATCACTCGTACATTACGATGATAGTTATAAATTTGTTCCTAAAAAAAGTGAATAGTTTGTGGTTATTAGAGATATTCCTAATAGGGTTATAATTTTTTTATATGATAAGGGTGATAAGCGAGCACACAGTATACCTGATGGTAAAAAATATCGATTTTCTCCTTTACGGCATTGGCCAGTGAGCCTCGTCCTCTATCTATCGTCCTCTGTCTATACAGAGATGTAAGACAGAGCTTGAGCAATTTAAAATCCTTGAAGAACAGCCAGTCAGTCAAAGAAAGACGAAAGGAAAATGCACCAAATAATTGATATTAATAAATTTTTTACAATTCTTACAATCTATTTATTTGTTTTGTACCAAAAATAAAGAAAGAGTAACAAGTCCACGTAATTAGAGTCCATCGAATGTTTGGCCTTAAGGCGCTAATAACCTGTTATGTTGCTAGTTACTTAAAAAAAAATCATAAATATAATCAGTTTTCAAACTCTCTCCACTCGGTGATAGAGCTGCGAAGCTCTCTTTTAGCTCAAACGTTTTTATTTTTCTTACTGTTCAATGGTGCTACGAAACGAACGAACTCTTCAACCTAACCAGCTAGGTATATAAGTATAAGTAACTTCTTTTTTTTTTTGCCGACTTCAAAAAAAAGGAAGAGGTTCTGAATTCAAATGTATGCTCTTTTGAGGGTTCCGTAGTAAAACAAAAAGTAACCCTTATAGTTTCGCCATGTCCGTCCGTCCGTCCGTGCGTCCGTCCGCGGTTTTACTCAGAGACCCTAGGTGCTACAAATCTGTAATTTGGCATAGTTATAGATATTAATCACGCCTACAAAAGAGTGAAATAAAATCTTGAAAAACATTTTCATTTTGGGTACTACCATAAATGTAAAGGGAGAATGATTTTTTTTTACCCGTCTATTCCATCGTGTGGGGTGTCGTCAGATAGGTATTTCAAAAATATTGCAGATATGGAACAAGTTCTTTTCGGTTCAGGGGTCTGATTGCAAAATATTTAGCTTGAAAGTAAACCGCTAAACCAACCGCTAAAGCGCTGGTCTTAAATTTTTTAAAGTATGCATAAAATTAGTATAATATACAATGAAGTTAAAAAGAAAACCGCTGCAAAAACCGTTAAAGGGAAACCGCAAACAACAAAGTAGAATTAACACGTTAACGAGTAATAATCGACCAACTTTAAGACTGCAACCGCTTACAATGTGATATTGATCGGGTGGTGGAGTGGGGTCGGGAGAATAAATTGCTGTTTAATATATCAAAATGCAATGTGATGTCTTTCACACGCTCGAGGACCCCGATACATTTCAACTACCTCATGGAAGGGGATGTCATCAATCGCGTTGTCTGTATACGTGATCTTGGCGTCTTATTTACCGAGGACGTGACGTTTCGTACTCATATTGTACAGGTGTGTAAAAGGGCCCTTAAAAACCTGGGTTTCATAATGCGTGAAACGCATGACTTCCTCAACACTGCCGCCGTGAAGTCATTATATAATGCTTTAGTAAGAAGCAATCTAGAAACCATTGCTATCATCTGGAGTCCTTATGAAACCAAGTGTAACCTCATGCTGGAGAAAATACAGAATAAGTTTACGCGGTACCTCTATTTAAAGCAATACGGGGTGTACCCTTTTTATCCTCTTATGTA